GTCACTTTAAGAGTGGAACCAAACTTAGTAAGTCGCCGCTTTAAGAATCAACCCTAGATTTAAGAATGAAACCAAACTTAGTAAGTCGTCACTTTAAGAGTAAAACCAAACTTAGAAAGTCGCCGCTTTAAGAATCAACCCTAGCTTTAAGAATGACACTTAACATAATAAGTCGTCACTTTAAGAGTGGAACCAAACTTAGTAAGTCGCCGCTTTAAGAATCAACCCTAGATTTAAGAATGAAACCAAACTTAGTAAGTCGTCACTTTAAGAGTAAAACCAAACTTAGAAAGTCGCCGCTTTAAGAATCAATCCTAGCTTTAAGAATGAAACTTGACTTAATAAGTCGTCATTTTAAGAGTGGAACCAAACTTAGTAAGTAACTGCTTTAAGAATCAACCCTGATACTTTAATAACCAAGCTTAGTAACTCTAAGAATCAAATCTCCTAAGTTATCGCTTTAAGAATCAACCATAGTAAATAATTGCTTTAAAAATGCAATCCAAATAAGTCGTCGCTTTTAAGAATTCACTTTAAGTAAGTCATTGCTTTCAGAATTCAGTCTTAATAAGTCGTTGCTTTCAAAATCTCTTTTAAATAAGTCGCAGCTTCACTTTCAGAATGACTTTCTATTAAATTTCCCTCATTTCAGCTTTATTATCAATAGACAATCCAAACAATAGTTACCACCATCTCGTAAACCAACACACATCACCTCCCATCCACTACGTACCAAATAATAATAATAATTTACATAACAAATGATGATAAAAGAAAGGGGTTTTCCCATTATTTGCGGGAATGCTTCATTCTAATCTACTCGGAGCGTAGTGGATGTTATCACACATTCAGCGACAAGATGACAAATGGAAAATATCTCAATATATGACAAGATATGCAACGCAATCCGAAAAATGACTTGCAACAATTTTTCTATTTAAAAAAAGACATGAAACATTAATTACAAATGTTTCTTTAGATACAATGACAATAATTCAGCATGAGGACACGAGTGAGATAATAATCATTAAAGAGTAAAAGGAGCGAAAATTCCACTCAACTCATGCGTTATATTTTAATTTTATATTGCACATTAAGGTCTTGTCTGATGATCAAAGAAATATACTTTATTTTTATAAAGACTTGCCTCTTTTATTCCACATTATTCAATGCTGTGTGATTCATGCAAGTCATTTTAAAACTAAAGAAAATAAGAACATCTAAAAAAGCCGACCAGCTCAATATAGAAATTATAGAGGGATGACAATTTATTAGAAAAAGAAGGAAAAGATGCAAAGTTAGGTGATAGAGACAAGCACGTGCATCGCTGATGGCAATAAAGGGGTTCAATTCTTAATATCTATATTTTATATAAAATTTATATTTAAAATTCATTGCCACGGGAAGGAAAACTTTAAAATTTTCCACTACAATTGAGATAAAAACCAGAAAATTTGAAATAATTTTAAGAGTCTTTGCACTTGCTACAGTTATTGGATGCGCATGTATTGAGGATGATGGGGGAAGTTAGGGTTTTGAAGTGGTTAAGGTAGGAAGATGCGCATTTTTCTCATAGTTGTCTATTTTTTAGAAACATTTATTTCATTCGGATATACTGAATTACTGACTATCAATTTATAGTCATTCGTCAGGCTGATCATGCATCCATCCAAACGTTTTTCTGATTGTCTCGGAGTCTATGATTTAAGGAATAGTGTTGTCCAAAGTGTGTGCCGTAGATTTTTTGGAAATGACACGAATGCTGTGTGCAAGTTTGGTCATGGCTTAAAAATATTGTGTGCTGTGGCCCAATAAGTTTGAACAACACTGTCCTAAACCAGCACACTTTGCATAAACCTAAACCCTGTTCCCTGTTGCTCCCTCTACCAATCACAATTGATAAATGTCCGACTTCCAAAAGAGTCCCCGTTTTTAAGGACGGGATTCGAATTTCATTTTGGACCCCCGCTCCCACCTGCGTACCGAATTTTGAAAAGCAAACAGTGTCAATTTGAGGCATCAGATAGAATCTCGGCGTAGATATTCAGACATGCAGCCAATCCAGAACATCATAACCCCTTCCTTCTCTCAGTCTCTCAAAATTCTCAGCTAACAAATAAATAATATAAAATGAGTCACACTTTTAATCTCCTTTCGAAATGATATGAAACACTTGTCACAATTCTCCATGGGAACGTCAAGTGCATACAGGCGCATTTTAAAGCATGAAAATAAAAAATTCATTCTCTAAATCCGATTATGAGTTCTGATTCCATGCCGAAAATGTTTAATTTTATGGAATTTTTCTCATGTCACTTTTATATCCTTTTTCCGTTCGTACTTATTTTTAGATATATATATTTTTGTGTCTGTATCATTTTTAGTTGACTAAGAGTGATGTTGATTAAGTATAAATGGACGTAAATTGAGCATGATTTGAACTATGACACAGCTCATTTTTCACCATCCAATGTCCATCAAAAAAAAAAGTTTTACTTCTGTTTTCCAGGTAAAAAGCAAAGTTTTCACTTCTTCCCAAAAAAAAAACCTTTTGAATTGTTCGTGAAACAAGGAAATAGATTACTTTTAACCATGGATGAATTTTTTCTTGACAGTTCATGTAATTGATTGATAAGAACAAAAAGATATTTTTTTGGAACTTTTGCTCTCATTTTTCTTACCTTTGACATAGTTTTTTTTTGTCTATTTTATGGAATGATTAATGAAGATACACGGAAATAGTTGAAGAAATGCAATATCAATTAGTGGATTAATGTATTTTGGATGTTCTTATTATTTTTTGTTTGAAGAAATTGGGAGTCAGGGAGTTGGGGAATTGAGTCAGGAACTCATCAGTGGATATTTCAAATATATTTTAATCATTTTGACTTCATAACTTACTCATTGCCTCTTAAAAATCAATAATAGAATTGATCCTCAAAAGTAGAGTCAGAGAGGACCTGAATAAATCCATTAAGGTTTAGAAAAGAGTTTAATGCTTGAAACTAGTCTAATGTGAACCGTGACACAGTTCAGTAAAAGTTTTGTATGTCCCCACAAAAATCACAACAATCTTGAAGGTTTTTGTGACACATGAGTGTGTTGTGTAGCATAATTAGAGAAGCACTGGTCTTGTTGAAAAAATAGATGATTTGAATTGATTTTGACTGTTTTTAATTCTTAAATTTTAAATTCTTTAAATTTCAATTTTTATGCCCCTCACCCCACTTTTTTGTCGTTTCCTCTAATAAAATCTGAAATAAAACTCTCACTTTATTCAAACCACAAAGAATACAAAAAATTCAATCAGAAGCTAAAACAAAGCTGTCAAGTCAACTCGATATGAATGACAACTTAACACATTTCCATTTTCTACATGATTCAACATAAAATTCATACTTTATGTGCACCATATAAATGATGGTAATAAATATGTTGAAAAAGAGAGCCTTTAAGAGGAGCAAAATACAATTGATATTGATTCTGAAATGTCAATAATTCACAATCCATTACCAATCCATTTGTCAACTGTTGACGTTATACTTCCTTTGGATTGATTTTGAAGGGATATCGTGGTGCTTTTGTTGAGTTTAGAGCAGGCACATCACTGCTTAAGAGTATAAAATGTTAAGTTCTCATTAAAGTGACCTCCAAATTAATCTTAGCAAATAGATAGCATGCTCAATGGTGTCATAATTGACTCACAAGCATACTTTAAGAATCCCATTGAATATCAAAAACTAAACTTAAGTTTAAAATCTACTAATGTGACTTAATACAGCAAGGAAGTCAGACAAAAATTTAAAATTCTGACAAAACATTCCCAAGGGGAAAGAATGAACAGCAAAATTGCGTAAATATATATCTTCAATTTGCTAAATAAACAGGCTTGACATATTCAATCCCAATCATTTAAATCATAAATTTATGAATTTTCTTTAAATAATTTGGAAGCACTTGTAGCTGATTCTTGATGTTATCAATTATGTTCATTCAGAGGCTGATCTTGTTTAGGACATTTAAACGATATTGAGTCTATTTAATAAAAGATTCCAATCAACTTCAAGCCAAAGATTCAGAACGTATCTACCAATTGACTTTTGATGATATTTAATTTTTATTTCCACTTTCTTGCTTTAATGTTTTCTCAAGGAGGAGTGGCATCATCTTCAATAAATTTCTTAACTTCCTTCTTCAACTCAACAGATTTAGAAAATCAATAAATTGCATCAAATTCGCTACAAAATCTTTTCCCTTTCAAAAAAAACCAAAATAAATTTCAAATTCAAATAAATTGCATTCATTTTTCCGGTCCAACCTCTTTCATGTTTGCTGAATTTCATTCCATAAAATGAATTCTTAGAAATTGCGCAACAGTTTTTAATTCTGTCATGTGCAGTCGCATCTGATTCTCAAATAATAAAATAGTTACAATATCAGCAAAAAAACATTATTTCGAGTGCCAATTTTGATTTTCCACGCATCATTAAATGACAATCAGGCAATGGATGAGCTCTTTCTATTCAATTCTGTGACGCATTGAAGAGTTCTGTTGCTGTTTGTGTAGAAAAATCGCAGCTGCCAAAATTCACGCATTTATGATTTTTGGAAGGAAAAAATTAATTATTTTACGATCGATGAGCATCTCGTGTGTGTGTTTTGATGCTGTTTTTATGATCTTTTGTGTGGAATTGAAAAATGAGAATAAAATAGGATTTCTGGTTCGTCAAAAATTGATAAATAAGGGCTGGTAATTGAATATTTCGCAGGAATTCTTCTGACTACGCTCTAGTACTCATTCATTGTATTACGAAATATCGGAACTACCCCAATCTGAAATCGATACAACATACTAGCCACGAAAACTATAAACCTCAAAAAAAAAAATAAGAATCAAATTCATAATTATGCAATTTTATTCAATTTCTTTCCTCCCTTTTTTGCATTACCTGATGTCCTAAACACAAACAAAATAGAATTAATTTTAAGTTTATTTAAGTTCCGAATATAAAAATATCGAGAGATAAATTGAGATGGGAAATGAATTCAATTGAATTTTTTTTGGGTATGTAGAAATGGAAATAAAAATTAGGGTGATTTTTGATGCAACAGCAACTATTTGCGTATTTTGCTGGTTTTTTTGTGGGATGTTCTGGATTAATTCATTTTTCATGTTGAGTTTTCTTCATGAAAATAATGAATGATTAATTTTTTTCTTCCTATTGTTGCATTATGCTGTTTTTAAAATGTAGGGGCTGTTCATAAATGACGTCTAACATTAAGGTGGGAAGGTGGTCTGGAAGCTCATATAAAAGAATATTTTCTTGATCCATAAAGAGTCTAAAAATCTAGTCTTTTTAATTGACGTCATTTATGAACAGCCCTATATTTATATTATTGAAACAAAAATAATCTTTATTGCATTTTAAATTTGATAAGATAATACATAGCTTTTTTGAAGTATTTGTTACCAACTTTATATTAAATTAAAATCACATGTTGACTATTTTTGGTCCTTTCCAAAAAAATCTTTAAATAAATTACTACTGACATCCACATCCACATCCTTTCAACTCAAACATTTGATGTTCCAATTCAGTAATAGCCGCAATAAAAATTTTATTCTGTGTCAATATATTTTCCTCTAGTTCCTGTTTTTCTTTTGCAAGGTTATTGATTTCCAAACGCATTTGTTCATTCTCTTCAGTGAGAGCTTTTATATCTTTTATAACTTCTTCATGCTTGCCTTCTAATTTACAGACTCTTTCGTCAATATTTCCGTCAGCACATCCTAAATGCATATTATGAAATAAAGTAAAGTAAAATACTATGTACCTCATAAAATACACTTACCTGACATTATCCTATCATAGTTTTCAAAGCACAGCTTTAAATCAGCTCTCATAGATTCTCTTGTCACAGAATTATCGGTAATGTCTTTACTTACACATAAGTTGGATTGCAAATTAAAGCTGTTTATTCCTGTATTGTTAATTAACCGTTCATCAATTGCATCAATCTGATTGCTGTACATATGTACTTCATCTAATTTTGGTAGGTGTCCAAATGAATCAGAATGGAGAATTTTAAGCTTGTTGTTATGCATCACAAGAGTTGACATATTTTGAAGTGAACTGAAAATATTTCTTGGCAGAACTTCAATCAAATTTCTCTCTAAATACAATATGCTTAATCCAGTTAAAGGGTTGAAAATATTTTCAGGAAGATTGGTTATTTGATTTAATTCAAAGTCAAGACGGACAAGTTTTTGTAGATTAGAGAATGGATCTTCAGGGAGCTCAGTTATTTGATTGTACCAAAGAAGTAAATACGCCAGTTCTGAATTTTCTTTAAATGCATTTTTGTGAAATTGCCTTATTTTGTTGTTTTTAAGGTCCAAAAATTGAAGCTTTGTGCACTTTTGGAAAGAATCTTCATCGATTATTTGAATACCGCTGGCAGTCAATTCAATCGTCTGAGTATTTTGAAATGTTTCACAAATTATTGATGGAATGTTTAAGGTATTTGATAAAGATTTGTAAACATGAAGAACATCGATATCAGTCATGCCAATTAAGTGCGTTCCGTTAATTCCAGTAAAATTGTTAAATCCATTCGGATTAATGATTTTAAGGCCGCAGCTATAACCAGATGATGAATTCGAATAATTACAGCTTAAAGCTTCATTTTGTCCACAAACAAAAGATAAATTTGACACAAACATGAATGCAAAAACACAAACCAAAACTTTTAAATTCATTTCAATTTATTGCACAAAGCTTAATTAGTTCACTTAACTTTTCAGCACAATGAATAATCTTTTATAGCTAACATTTCGTTTTATACCTTTTATTTTATAAAATTTGTTTTTTTTATTGCCATTAATACTGATAATCAACTGCTTTAAACTGCTTAAGACCCAGGAATGCTGACTGAAGTTTTCTAAGATAAAGTTTCATTTTTTTTTTGATCAAACAAATTTAAGTGATGAGTAACTTCTTTGATTTTAATAAACATTAAACTCATTCTTTTCCAAGTCGTTTAAATTCTTATAGGGATAATTCTAAAAACTGTATTTCTAAAGGGTTTGGTACTTTAAATTCTATACTTTAGTAGTATATAGGGTTTTCAATCCCGGGATTGAAATGTGTGTATACCGGGATCAAACCAAGGATTAAGTAATCAGTTCAATCCTGCGATTGAAAACCCTAGAAGAATACTACTTGAATCGATAGAGCCGATTTCAGATGCATTTAAAGAAGAATATTGTACACAATAGATCTGTACGGCTCCCGAAGTAAGTATGTTGGTTGTTTTGGAGTTTTTTCAGCATAAATGACACATGGTACAAATTGGTTTTTATAATAATTTGAAACTGATCAATCGGATTTTGATCATTTTTTATCATTTCAACAATTGTTTTTTTTTGAGGTTTATTTCAACTTGATACAAGCGTGCAGAACTGATGAATTACATTTTGATTATTTTTGATAATTTTTTGAATATTTGTGATCATTTAAACATTTCATCAGGTTTAAAACAAGGGTTTAAGATTAAGGATTACTTCATATGTAATAAGATAAATTTTTGAATTTTCATTTAAGATTTTAATTTAATTAATTGCATCTCTTATGATGTTTAAACTCCTAAAACCCTTTCTTAAACAGGTTCCTGATAAGATCCACTTTAAGATTATATTTAAAAAGGTGGTTCCCAAGAGTTTGTTATGATATTCAAGTGGTATGGAGTCGAGGAATTTGTGACTTATTTTCTCGTCCCAGCTTTTAATAAAATATTGGAACTTGCCTTTATAGAATACACCCTTAGATCAAGTAAATTTTATAGATTTGTTATTTTTTCTAATTTCTCTATTTATTCATAACACAAAAATATTTTTTATAATTTTAAAATTAATTTAAACTTTTCCTTCTTCTTAATTAACTTTATTATGGTCCATCAGCGTATTGCTATTTAAAGACCGTTTAACTTATTCTCAAATTATTTATAGCTTTGTTGTTCTATGCTTAAAGACAATAACGATTAGCCAAAAGTAATCTTATAATTATCAAAGCACTGCTTCAATTCTCTCCTCAAAACATATCTTGTTGTTAGATCTTCAATCCTTTTGTCAGCACAAATATTACCAGGCATGTTAATTAAGTTAATGCTTGTATTGTCAATAAACTTTTCATCAATTGCATATATTTTATTGCTATGCAGATTCGCGGTTTTTAATTTTGGCAATACTCCGAATGGAAATGCATGGATGACATCAAGTTTGTTACTATCTAAATAGATCATTGTCATATTTTTTAATGCATTAAAAACATTTGCTGGAAGATTTGTAAGCAAATTATTATTTAATAATAAGAAATCTAAGCTTATTAATGTGTTGAATGCGGTTGTTGGCAATGTACTAATTCGGTTCTGTCCAAGATCAAGCATCTGGAGCTTATTTAAATTAATAAATAGTTTTTCAGGCAGAACTGCTATTTGATTATATTGTAAGGACAGTCGAAGTAGATCTGGATTATTTTGAAATGAATTTTCATGAATTTGACTGATATAATTTTCATTAATGTAAATGTACTGAATTTTTTTGCAGTTACTAAAGGAATAGTCGTCGACGGCTCGAATTCCAAAACGCTGAATTTGGATCCGGTCTAAATTTGGAAACTGTTGGCAAATCACTGATGGAATATTTGTCGAATTTGCTCCTGAATTGTAAGAATATATATAAAAAACATCTTCGTTTGATTTCCCATTCAAATGCTGTCCACTTATTTCATTAAAGTTGTTAAGACCATTCGGATTGATAATCGTTAAATCACAAGTGTAGCCGTAGTATGAATTATTCCAAAATTTAGTACAGATTGCGGCTTCATTTTGTCCATAAACACAGCATGCACTTGACAAAAATATTAGCAAGAACTTAGCATTCATATCGCACTTTTTACTAGCAAATCTGAGTTGAACTTTACTTTTGCACAGTTTTATAAATAATTGAAGAAATCTCTTGTTTTCTTTGCTTTTATACTTTATTCATTACTGCGCATTGCAAGTTTCAAAAACAAAACTACAAATGAATCACATCTCGCGGTTAAAACAATAAAATTATTACCTGCAACAATCAAGGTTTTCGGGTAAATACTTGAGAGAGTTTGTACACTTATGATGCCAAATTGATAAGAAATCGGTGTGATATTTTTGAAGTGTTTGTGAAAAGAAACTAGTAACATGCTTTGTATTCATTACTTCTTTTTGAGAACAACGAGACTTTAAAAGAGATATGTTAGAAATCAATGGTCAATTTTTAGAACAACCTTTATAACTCTTATGAAACATCATTTATTAATAACCTTAAATGACTATAAACAATGACTCACACAAAAGTTGTTTACTTTTACCACTGGATGTGAAATGTGTTATCATTTTGATAACAGTATTTTCTAGGGAACTAGGTTGTAAACAAGTTAGCAGTTATCTTATCGTAAGTGCAATAAATAGTGCTATAAAAGGTTCACATAGTAAGCAAGTAGATCTACAGTTAAAATATAAAAACTTTTTCAAAATTGCTGATTATAATAATTAAACAAGTTTTGGAAGCCTTTGTTTTTGAATCAGAGGACGGATTTTAATGTACATCCTAGAATGAAGTTTTCCAAACTATGTTTGGTGACTTTCTGACTTGTTAATAATACCATTGGAGCCATTCTAAGTTGGATATCCTCGAAAATCCTACCACAATAGTAATAATTAATATATAAGCTTTTGTGCAGAATAAATAACCACAATAAAAATCTACATTCCATTTCTTCCTTCCAATCTTCACAAAACCTCACAAACCTACCCATCATAATGACCTGCATAATGACTGATCTTGACACAATTCATTTAAAAAGATCATCAGCAACAACAAATTTAATAATCCTTTCTTCCGATCAGACCTAACCACAATCGATGACTCCAAACACATTGAGTATGATCAGTAATCAATGAATTTTCAAAACATGCCATAATCCCATTCAGAAAACATTCTCCAGCATCTGTTGAATGTGTGAAAGATTAAAAGGAGATTACAGGAAAGAATTTCATATTTTTTTTAATCCCAAACCTAATAAAAATGACAAAAGCATGGTCGGTTCTTGAATATGACACGGAAGAAGACGAGAATAAGCAAAAAAAAGGAAAAGAATTTTTTTTTGTTCATTGTTGTTTGATGTTTGAAGTGTTTCATGTGTGTCTTCATAATCTTCTTATTTCTTGTGGTTTTCAAATTCATTTTCTGCATGAATTTTTTCATACTTTTGTTTGAGGTTGTTTTGTGAGTTTAGACATGAGCAGGCAGGCATTTAAATGGGGATTGATGCTGAGGGAATTTTGTCAGAATCTCTTGTGTCAAGGTTGGTAATGTTTTATAAGTTTGTATGACGGGATGCTGTAATATAATCTTCAAGCTTAATTCTGACAAAATTCACCACAAGATTCCAAAGAAAACAGCAAAAATTCCACTCAAAAGCCTTTCCTGATGACGAATGAACTTCATGATGATGATTGCCATGATTGCCGTCTAATTAAGAATGCACTTAAGTGCCTTTTATTTATCTCTTATTAAAAGAGAAGAGAGAAAAAGTTTATTTTTTTTTATTCTCCTTAAGAGCAACAGATTGATCTCGTCATAAGTGCCTTTCATTGCTTCTTCTTTGTCATTCGTTGTCATGTCAAAAGCAGTTCATGCTAATTTTATTCAAAATGAGTTTGAGGAAGTTGAAGATGTACTTGAGGTAGATGTAAACAAAGCTTATTTTAATATGTGTAGAAATTTACTTATGAGTGGGTGTGTTTGGTGAATATGGTTGATGATTGTGAGGAAGTTTATGAGATTTTGCAATTGGGAACAGATTGGATGCTTATTTAATTTGAGAAAGTTAAAGTTTTAATGTTTTTTAAGTTGACGAAATTAGAGATTCTTAAAGTTTGATAAAATCTATAAAATCTTGATTAATATTGTAAGTTTTGAGGCACGTTTGATTTCATTTGATCCATTGTAGTCTTAGGTTGCTGCTAAACTCTTCAAATTCATCAAATTATAACCTCTGCAAGCCAAATTTTTGTCGAATTTAAGAAAAGATAAAATAATTTTTGCTTCAAAAGATGCAGCACTTTTTATCCTAAAATTCAAATTCAAATTGTCCGTTAAACCAAATTCTTGATTTATAAGGTTACAATAACGAGTCACAAACACTTTTAATCACCAAAAACAAGAATGGAACTAGTTCCTTCAATAGATAAAGACAAAAACACGAAGCATGTTAACAAAATACCTCAATAAATATCTCAGATCCAAATAAAAAGCAAAACTCTCATTAAAAAGACAACATGTTTAGCCCCAACTCACTTCCAGCAAAGGTAAAATTCGTAAATCATTCAAATCAGCCAAAAATCTTTCGCAAATAAATCCAACCATGACTTCTCATTCCTTCATTTCACTCCTAACATCGCTGATCAACGTCATAAATCTATCTTCATCCAACAAATCATTTTGGCTGGATTAAATGTCCACGAATATTTAAAAGAAAACGGATTAGCCAGAAAATTAATTTCACTCACACTCGATTTTGATTTCGTTTAATTAATGTGATAAATTTATACGAAATAATTTTATGACTGTAAAAAATGAGAATGTTTAACGACGAACATGAAAGATCATCAAAAAATAATTTTTCTTATTCTTTCTCAACAAATTTTATATTCTGTGCCTGGTCGCAGATGTGCGTGTGTATGACCACCCAATTAATAACACAACAAATTCACGTTGCGACAGTACACAACACATATGAACAAGATTTTAAAATGTGCGACAAAAGAAGAAATGATTTTGATGGCATCCACATTTTTTTTTAAATTTGTTGCATACTTATATATATGATGAGTATGTACATAGGAATGAGAAACACATTTTAAGTCTCGCTTGCATTTTAAAAAATAAAGTTCATTTTCCTTGTGATGTGTTTACAACTGCTGTGCATCATGTTCATTAACACTTCACAAATTATTAACTTGACATATATTATTGTCATGAAATGCATCTGTGAATTTCTAAGGCACATCAGTCTTCTTATTTCTTTTCTTTTTTGCTTTATGAGAAAGACACAAAAGAAACGGCGGGGAAAGAATGTTCATTTTGTGAGTGCATTTTTTGCATAAGAATGAGGATTTTTTAAATTTTTCTGCTGTCTGAGTCAATTTCTTGATGAGGTAAGCAGCAGAGGCTGTTTTTCATGGAATATATGCAGGTTTTATGGAAACTGTTTGCATTTTGTGAGGATAAGTTGTGAATTCTCATTTATAAGTAGGTGCTAGGCCTATTAATTACCATATTAAATGAGCTAGTTTAATAAATGGGAAGATAGACGAGCAAATAAACCAACGAGCAAAGAAATTGAAGGATAAAGTCATCGACAGACTGGAAAGACTTGTGATAAGTGAGCTTAAGAATGGGATAGTGCACTATTGACCCTGCTTGCTATAATCTTAGTCGAATAAGAAGAAAATTAGATATGTAAATGAAAAGCTAGCAATGGCTTCAATAAACAGTAAGTATCACTGACAATCATGAATAGTTGAGTTTCGATCTTTGTGTCATGAACAAAGACGCTCAAACTCTTTCAAACCACAAAACGTACGCACCAAACTCGCTCATCTCAAAAAACTCTTTTTACAAAACTTTTATTTCACAAAAAAATGCAAAAATTTTCTGTGGGATTTAACATCAAGAGCCTTTTCATTAAAAAGTCAGTGATTCGTGACACATAAAGAATCTTCATGTGTGTTGCTTGCTAAAACATATTTCATCTCATAAAGGTGCATCTTCCTTCTTCTTCTTTTCATCATACAAGCTCATCATTCTTCGAAGCTATAAAAATAATTTTCTAAAATACAATAAAAATTATTAAATTAAATAAAAAGTACGAGAGAGAGTCAACAATGCAATTGTCTACAAAAAAAGTGGTTAAAATGTCCCTTGCATTGAATCTCATCTCCCATATTCTCAATGAATTGAAAAAAAAAAATAAAGAAACAAGACAAAAAATGTTTTTATGTTTACGCTTAATATTGAAAAATAGTGAATAATAGAAGAAAAAGGGGAGGTATACTGTTGTAGCTGCATCTGGAATGTAGAAGCACAATCATTTATTATGTTTTAACACAACGAAGGAGATGAAAAAAAAATTGTTATTATTATCGTCATCATCATTCATAAAAAAAATTAAATTGGAGATGACACGATGTGCTCTCGACTTATAAATCTATTCTTCTTTGTGATCGTAATTTTTACACAGAATTATTTTTGGCATGGGAAATGGGTGGAATTATTGAATTTTGTCTGATTGACATGACTTTTTTGCAAAATTATTATTCGTTCTAAAGCTGAGCATCATTAAAGCTGAGCATAGCTAAAGCCGAGCATAACTAAAGCTGAACTTTACTGAAGCTGAGCATCATTGAAGGTAAGCATCATTAAAGCTGAGCATCATTAAAGCTGTGCATCGCTAAAGCTGAACATCATTGAAGCTGAGCATCATTAAAGGTGAGCATAGCTAAATCTGAACATCACTAAAGCTGAGCATCATTGAATCTGAACATCACTAAAGCATCATTCAAGCTGAGCATCGCTAAAGCTGAGCATCGCTAAAGCTGAGCATCGCTAAAGCTGAGCATCGCTAAAGCTGAGCATCATTAAAGCTGAGAATCATTCAAGCTGAGCATCGCTAAAGCTGAGCATCGCTAAAGCTGAGCATCATTAAAGCTGAGAATCATTCAAGCTGAGCTGAACTTATAGCTAAATGTTCTTGTAGCTGAGCGTTCTTATAGCTATGCATTATTCAAGCTGAGCTTCATTTTGGTTGAGCATCAATTAAGCTGAGCTTCATAATAGCTGATCAACAATAAATGCTCATTAATTCTAAATGCTGACAGCAAAAGGAGATCTGTT